CCATTATAACATCTCACTCTCACTTATTTCTCTCATCCTCCTCTATCTTCATCTCACTCAATCATCCACCACAAAACAATTAATCCCAAATTTTCTTTTATAAAAAATGCCTCTGAGAGTTGTTAGATCTAGAAGAGAAATCGATTTCATGGGGATGGTTTCTTGGAAGGAACGGAGGGGGAAACCAGAGAGTCGGGTACACTATGCTTTTCGACCGCTCAGTCGTGCCAACAAGGTATGCTGACGAAACCGCGTTGTGTGAATTAGGGATGTATGGTAGTGTTAGATGGATGTTAAGTAACTTAAGATTAAGTTATTTTTGTGTTATGATCAGCCCTACATATGTTAAGCTTACATATGAATTCTTAAGTTCCTCTAATTATATCACTCCACCCAGCGCATTACGTGTTTCGGACACTGTCAGGTTTAGGATGTTAAATACCATCTATGAATATAACCAAGACCAGATTGTTGATTTGCTTCATTTCCCTCATGGGGAAGATTGGTCTTGAGAAAGGCCCCTTGAAAGTGAATGGTCCTCCGGCGCTTTTCACTTTTGGCATGAATTAACCGGCGATACCACTTTCGATTGGGAAGGTCTCAAATCCACTTCCATTCACAACCCACAAATTAGGTATCTCCATCGTATCCTAGCCTATACTCTCTTTGGACGAGAGAATAATGGAAAGGTTAACTCGAAAGAGCTTTATTTTCTATATTATGCACTAGCACTGGCACGGGTTAACCCCATACTATTCATGCTTGCACACTTGTAATCTGCAGCTACTAGAGCCTCTGGTCTGTTCTACATAGCAGGGTTGATCACATCTATAGCCCTTGCGATAGGGCTTAGTAACCAATTGACCGCACTTGAGCCATTACCCACAGCATTCCTTGATAAGGATTCCTGTCATAGTATACGCATAATAAGCAATAAACAAGATGGTAGGTATTACTTAGTGGTTAAAACAAGTCGGTTAAAAACATTATCCTTCCTTGTGCCGCACGGATTGATGTGCAAAACAGATAAAACTGGACTTTCAATTTGAACGCCTCAGAACCTGGCGTTAAGTTAACGCTCAAGTTAATGAAGGGGGTGACACTGATGATAAATTAGATACTATGGAACAAGATGCTCATGATACACATCTACACACTACACACGGTACTTCTAATAGTTTTGTAGGTATGTCCTCTGGACATCAACCCCGAAGAAGGAATGATCGTGGATCTACTAGTACCTCCCTTGACGACATCCTTACTAAGCTAAGGAAATGTAACACCTTGGATTCCCAGTGTGACCAATTTATTAAAGACATGCAAGCTCAACAGCTCCACCAGCACTAGCATGATTATACCAGCAGGGCCGAACATAACATGTCGGGCATGATTAATGAAATGGGAGATATGAGAGTACATGTAGAGGACTTGCAAGAATACATCCAGCATGTGGGTATGCCACCCTACCAGTCAGGTCAAGGTGAGCGTGGACGAGCACGAGGCCGCGGCCATCAATTGTCGTCACTCCAGATTCTACCTTCCTTTTCCACCTTTTATCGACACATTAAGGATAATGTTTGGTTTAAGTATGGGGGAGGAAGCTTTATCACTTTTATTTATTGCTTTCTAGATAGATTTATCGTTTTCTTAGCTTTTTTCATGTTGTTAGGATTTTTATTTTTAATTGATTTTAGTTTTTGTTTAATATAGCATGTGTTGTCGAGTCACTTATGCATGTTTTCAGTTATTGATAATTCCCTCCAAAATTAACCCCCAACAGAAGAAAAAAATTGTTTAATTCATGCCACAACACTCTAAGAGTATATAGGTTGTTTTGTACTTTAGGCTTTATTAAAGAGACTTGGGAAAGATTCGATAAAATTGGTACCGTCTTGACACCTTAAACCCCCTAAATATGCAATAATCAATTTGAGTATCTATTATACCAAGACCTTGAGTTTGAGTTTTAAAGTAACCCCAAATAGTTTATATTAACGGTCAGCGTCATCCTAAGTGCACTCTACGTATAGGAGTCTATTAACATAAGTGAATGATCTCGTTTTTAATGAATAAATAATTTAATTGGAAAATAGTCTTCTAAGTTAGGTGACCTCCACCCAGTCATTTAGCTTAACGGTTGTTACGCCTATATGGATTTAATAATAAGCACCCATTGTTGGTTGGTCCAGAGGTCACTGGTGCTGGACTTGGTAGGACGGACTACGATTCAATCCACCGCAATCTACAATTAGGAAAAATGGGGTTGCACCGCTTAGTACCAGAACCCTGTGCTAAAGAAAGATCATACTCACTAATTGATTCCCTTACTATGAGCGTGTATGGATAACGGGCTTAATGTGATTCTGCTAAAATGAAAGTGGATGAAAAGAAACGAAAACATAGATTGAGTTATAGTAGCATGATTCGGATTGGTTTGCATAAGATGAGAGATTATGACTGTAAGACACGGACTTGTGTCATTACAGTATCCTTGGTATTGATGTTTAGTACCTATCAATCTAACAATAGCCTAGTAGCCACGTATGATTAGAGTTTTTTGTTGTTTATGTTCCAAACTCGTGTCCTAATCGTTACCACGTTGGTTGGTTGCTTGAGGACAAGAAACTATTTAAGTATGGGGGAGTTTGATAACGTGAAAATGCATCATATTTTCCAACTTGATCACATTCTAATTAGTTTCATGTATGGCCTTTGTCGTACTTTAGTATGGTATCCATGAAGAAATGTGCGTCGGAATCGAAAAGGAACAAGAAAGAGTAGCAAAAATGCAGAAATCTTATTTCCTAATGTGTGGCGGACGCCACCAGCAGCATGGCGCTTGCCATGGCTTCCTGCCACGTCAATTAATAAAGTGGAGCTCATGGAGGACGTCATGAACCCTATGCAGAAAAACGAGGAACAGATCACCAGTTTGTTTCTGTCCGCTCTCCTAGATTTCCTGAGGCAGATTTACATGATCTGAAATCCCACTCTGAGTTGAAACACTATATATAGGGCTAGATTATTAGCTTTAGGGGGATCGAAGCTAGAGGCGAAGCGCTACCGAATTAAGAACTTAAATTTTATTCATTGTATGCACTCTTGGACCTCTAATATTATTGGCAATATTGAAGTTAATTTTATTTATTTTATTATCTCTGTCCTTACATGTTTTGATTTACTGCTTTTCTATTATTGTCATTGTTAGTTTGAATTGTCGTATCGTTTTTAATCTCAACCGATATGTCTAATTCGTTTTTAAATAGTAGTATGTCTAGCTAAATAGTTTGAGTCTGGTATGTAAGGACTGTCGTTTCCAAAATAGTACTTGGCACAAACTACGTATTTCCCCTTCAACACACTCATATCTTAGAGTCAGACCAAAACAACGTTGAAATAGTCTGAATTGATCTATAAACGCGTTTTATTTATATCCTCGCGCCAGACCTTTCTCTCTTCCTTCTTCATTTTAGAAAAATACTCATAATCCAAAATAGAACTCATGAGCAAACTTCATTTCCATCATTTTTCAAAAGTATAACATATGTCGATGTCATCTATCTTAGATACATCATTGACTTGGAGATTATTCATGAGTACAACAAAGGAAGGCATCTTGTTTGGGTTACTTCTACTCCAAGTTAGGTGAAGCTTGTGTATGAAAGACTAGAGAGTTTAAGAGAAACAACAATCTATTTACGGTAATATTTTTTCACATTTAGTGTTACTAATATTTCATAATACATGTGCTACTCTATTACTAATATTTCGTCTAAATTATTTTTAGACATGGATTCACTAGCACTTTCCACGCCTCTCAGGCTGGACATGTGCAAAATACTACTCTTGACTGCATCACGACAGATGATATCGCAACAAATGTTATCTGCTTTATGCCACATGTCAATCATTGTCAGACTCGCCCCTTTGGATGCGATAGCTTTCTATGTTGCATGTGGTCACAATTGATGTATTCACATATACCTGAGTGAGTCATGCGACAAGTTGAGTATATGCAGGGTATTCCTATAGCCCTTCCATGTCTGCTCCTTCCACTGTCACCCATAGAGATGTCAATGTTATATTTAAGGTGTTATATGATCATTTGGTCCTAACGGATTAATGTCATATGTCAGCTCCTCAACCATGGAGTGCGTATATGACATCCAATAATTTTATAGAGTGTCAGATCCTTATATGACACCAGATGTAGAGAGATCCTCTCTTGTTAGCTCGTCAGAATATATTAGAAGACGGGCAAACTAGGAAGGACCATGTCGATGATGTGTTGTAGATCTATAAGTGTATTGTGGTCATTGGGAGAACGGGCATAAAGAGATGAGAGTTTGAAGAAGGTACTCCTAGGATGGTCATTGGGCAGGTTATGATAGGAGAGAAACAACAAATTTTGGAGTACAAGAGGCAGAGGCGGAACGGGTGTCAGACAAATTCAATAGTTGACTTTTTCTTTGTATTTTAATCATAACATTTTGATAATTTGTATTATGGTTTGTATTTTGTGAACAATAATGTTTAGTTAGTTGATTTGCTAACATTTTTAGCACCATTTTAACTAAATATGGATTAATATACAAATTAATTTAGGGGGGAATGAGATATGTCTCTGATAAAGTGTTTTTTTTTTTAATAAAATGTGTGCGTTGGAGTGGCAATCTCGAAACGGTGAAAGGATATTTTTGTGTTTGATAATAATATAGGATGGGAATAAGAATGGGCGAAGAATTTTATGGAACATGTTTAAGAGCAAAATGATCCCAATATGGGGATGAAGAAACACCCGGGGCACACAATAGAAAAGAAGAGTTATACGAGGGAGTCCGAAATTGGAGTGCCTGCTTGAACATTAGAGGTGATAAGATCTCTAGGGTTGGAGAAATGAACTAGTGATATGGAGGCAGATAAGGGGACAAACTTAAAAGATTTATCCAATAAAACTTGTTTGGGAGGTATCAAAGCATGCATTAATTGATTGTTCAAATTCAAACATGGACATATCCAGCGAAATAGACATATCCAAATTGACCTGTTGTTGATGATCTCTCTGTCTGAACCGGAACCCAAAAATATCTTGTGCTTGACTTGGATAGGACAGTTCTCCCATAGTTGTTGTGTTGTTCAGCTTCTTCAACCCATGAAAATGTACTAGGTGCAACAGCAGCAATGGTGACAGGGAGGTGGAGGAGGAGGATGCTCATAGTTGTTTTCCTCATGCTTCTTCTTCGACCATAACTTGAGTTTCTTCACAGATTTTACTAAGTTTTTCATTAAGTTTCATATCCAGTTGTAGCATAACATACATATATATGAACGTATGCAATTACACCGTTAATAATTATGACCGTTGTATATCCACTACTATTCTAGATCTTAGTTTACGTTAGATACACATACCACATTCCTTTTCATTATAATCTATGTGCAAAACGAACTGCCTGAAGATTTGGAGTTCAAAATTAAACGTATCATTTTGAGGTTTAACATATCATTTTGAGTTTTAACATATTATTTTTTTAAAAAAAATTGAAGTTTAACATATCATTTTATTAAAAAATATTGAGGTTTAACATATCACTTTATTAAAAAAAAATTGAGGTTTAACATATCGTTTTTTTTTAATAAATTAAATTAGGTGAATTCATATTTATCCAACACAATTTTTTTTTAAAACCAATTATTCTCTCTACACGCAACTGACCGGACTAATCTCTCGAATCGAGTAAAACCACAATAGATGACAGGGCTATTTAATAAATAATTAAATATGATAAACTTAAATTCTAAGGTTATTAAAGATACCATGCCCAACTTTTTTATGATGGTAGAGAAGTTGTCACTACTAAATTAATCATTGAAAACTGTTGCATTTAATTTTAATCCCAACAAAATTTGTATTCGACTTTTTTTCCCTACAGCTGAAAAAAAAACACGCTACTTTCTATAAAAAAAAATATTAATATTTTAAAGACCTTAACTGAATGCAAGTTTAATAGGAACTGAAATTAAATTACAATGTAAGAAAAATTCAAGTCAGATCACAGAAAAATGCTGCTAGGAAAAAAAATGGCTCGATATACATTCATTCAATGGTATTCAAAGATTAACATTTAGTTATTTACAGAAATGAGATGCATCACATCAAAGGAATTACAAAAGAACCAAAAATCAAATGCATACATAATACTATACTCAGAGCAAAGACCTTCTTCATTTCATGCTCACGGCCCCACTCAAAGCAGAACAAGCAGAGGGCCGTGAGACTTGGCAAAAACAGAGCTATAGAAATAGAAAAACCACAACACCTTTAACCTATCATCTTTCAAGGAAGAGATCATCAAACAGCCCTCATCGTTTGTGCTATCACGCTGCTCCAGCATAGGTGTAGAATTAACAATCGATATGCTCCTATAGACCATGATGAAATGTTTGCCATGTTCATTCTCTCGGGTTCTACCTCATAATTTCATGCCAATATTTATTGTATATAACTAGTGTGTCGCAAGACCTAGGAGTATTAGCAACCAGGTCCCACAATAGATGACTGGTCCTCCAGATTGACAACTGCATCAGAATCCAGTTTGCTTGGTTTACCTTCTTCATTGGTCAGAAGACCTATTTTGGGTGAAAGCTTCTTCACCTCTTCGGGTGTGTAGATGAAAATTTTCCTCACAACGCTACAAAATTCACTGCAGTAAAATAGGCAGACACAACTCAATACACATATCTATAAGATTGCAAACTACTATGCCAAAGCCGATATAGTCAAAGAGAGTATATGTCAGTATTAATTAATCTTACAGCCATGGATCATCCCCAACCATCATCCTATCATCTTCATTGTCGGTGTAAACAACTAGCCATTTTCTTGTTGGTCCACAAAGCTCGCCCTCAATGTCAAACATCTCTTCCAATTTCCTAAGCAGATCTTCATATCCATCAAAACGAGTTAAATCCACAGCCCTTCCAACAGCCATACCTTGCATGTGAACCTGGAGCAATAGTAGATTTGTATTTTAAACAATCTCATTACACAATGCAGGCACCAGCACTGGCACTGCACTCTTGTAAAATAGAGGAGGCCAAACCATTTTCTAGTCCAAGGAAAACAAGGCAATATTAGACTTATATTATATAAACAATCTCATTACACAATGCAGGCACCAGCACTGGCACTGCCCTCTTGTAAAACAGAGGCCAAACTGTTTTCTAGTCCAGGGAAAACAAGGTGATTAATAATCAGTGTTATTAGTTATGGATTGCGGAAAATAGCGGACTGTTATAATTCCCCTGTGCAATAGTGCAGCTATTTGACAATATTTTGGAGTACTAAATAATATAACGAGGAACAATAGCATTCCACTACGCCGTAGCAGTATAGTGCCGCTATACCGGCTATTTAACAATACTGTTAATAATATTCAATTGGAATTATTCAAACAGAAACATTTGACCCAATTACCAACCACAATCCTTAATCCTTTATGACTGACTAAACTATCTAGGAGAATATTCCAACTAATGAAGGGCTTGTTGGTTTGAATTTTTTTTCCATTTTCAGTTTATTTTCACTAATAATTACAAATATGTAACCATATATTAACTTTGTTTCTGGTTTTCAGATGACTGTACAGGAAATGGTGAAACAGAAGACATGTATTGAAACTTACCTTGTGTATTGCTACTGGAAAATAATTTAGACAAATTTCCTAACCATTTTATGTCATAAGTATTGTATGTGTATCAAATGCTGTCAATAATGCAGATAGATTCTAAAAATGTACATGGGCTAAAATCCATCCAAGAATTTTGTAAGTAGAGGTGTATTATATAGCTGCGGTTCATTAAGTTATTACACAGAAAAAATGTGTTGAGAATGTTGCAGGTTTGTAAAGGAAATAGGTAGAGTGTATACTGGGTGAAACACTAACATTAAAAGTAGTTATGTACCTTTGTGCAGCTTCTTATTTGTCTGCTTTGCGACTCCTGAGGAGACCGCAGGCATGATTTGTCAGCATCACAACTTACTGAAGGAATATCAGACCGATTAACATTTGATGGTTCAGAATGTTGGTCAGACTCATCATCACCAACCCTTCTTAACAAAGAAGCTGCTTGCAGACTTTCTTCTGCATTAGAATTCTCAAGTAACTGAATCCCAAAGAGCCTACAGCCACTTCCAGTGCCTTGTCTCTTCTCTCCGGATTCTTTAAGTGCTATAGGTGAAAAAGGTTCTGTAGAGTTTTCCAATCTACTAGACCAATATATTGACTTGTTAGAAGCGGGACTGTTCCCACCAAAACCAAGAAAGCTAGTTGCAGTAGAGCTGAATCTTGGGGATGGATAGAGGTCTCGAGTGTGTTGAGAGTCACGATAAGGGAATGGTGGAGATTCAACTGGTGATTTCCATATACCTGAAATACAGAAAAATGGAAATTATATAGAAAAGCAGCACGGGCAACGGAATTATAAAAGTAAATTACATATGATCAAGTCACCTTGCAAAGAAGAATCAGGCAATGTGGAAGGTAGAACAGGAGGCCGTGATCTCTTGTTTCGTTGGGCTGGCTGGGAGTTTGCGGGAGGGGTAGATACAAGTGGCTCCAATTCCCATGGAGAAACTCTATCCGGACGCAAAATTGATGATGGTTCATCCCATTGAACCTGATTTGCATTTCGTACATTGTATAAGATTAACGAACAAAAAGCTACAACGATAATTCCAAATCCTACAAACTACAAGTGTCGGCTTGCATCATTTTTCACTTTCATATATAAAAAATATTAGCCATTTCCTGGTAGCTAAATTTTATTTCATTTAACTTTTGATATCTTTTTCACATAGACCAGCTAAAAAGTGCATTACTGAATTTTCAATCATGATAATATAATTTGCTAGATTGTCCCATAAATACAGCATTGACCTTTCTGGACCATTTTAAAGAGATGCAAGAATAAGCTCTACTATTCTGTAAAAGCTTTTACTAAAACTAAAATGAATTTATTTGGAAAGTTACTTACAAATTATAACTGTAAACGAGGGAAGCGCATCTAAAATCATGAATACTAACCTTTAATGATCGCCACTCAGAATCAGCCCAGACGGACGATTTATTATCTTCTACACCCACAATTGTACCGCTAAACCTGTACTCGGCGGGCAAGGAACAATGATTATATTGGACGATGTGCTAAAATCGAAATATCAATTTTTAAGCAACCAGCTTGCGCACCTTCGTTCAGGTACTTCATCACCCTCGAACCTCATTTTGAATCGCATTCCAACAGAAAGTTTATGATTCCGAGCTTCGAGATATTTGTTAATACTCACAATAAACTCTGACCGGCTTGTTCTAAGATAAATATAGATAAGTAAGAAGAAAATTTCAACTACGTAAAACAAAGGGAACACAAATATCATCCCAATCAAATTATTTCACCCAAAAAGAAAACAGTTCTTTAATTAAAAGAAAGTGGGAAGGCACATGTGCAAATACAAATAAAACAGTTATATGTGTGTTGAAGTTGCAGAGCGAAATTCTATGGCAAGTTAGCAAGAACATCATGAACTATAAATCACTAATAACTTCAGTGATAAATACAAAACCTGGGCTTGTAAAAAACAGAAAACAATGTTCCAGTTGAAATGGCATGAGATGCAGTGGCCAGAACACCAAGATGCATGCTGTGACTAGATATAACAGAAGATGGCATATTGCTTTGCTGTCTCATGAGCCTCCTGACTCCAACTCGGAGCTCTCCATTTTCACCCCTATATTAAATGCAGTAAAAAACAACCAACACCAACAAAATTAAGAAAAAAATTGTGAAGAAAAAAACGTGAACTACTTTTTCTAGCTCCTGAAGGAAGGCACAATACTTTTATCGAACAACTTGCCTTAAGAATATAAATGCGTCTCCAGCTACTAATTTCTTGGAACTGACAAAGACACTCCACCCAGTGGTCAGTAAGTGGCGCCTAGGTTGCCCTGTAAATTACTCATAGTCAGAAACTTCCTGACAGTAAACATCAAAATCTTGTATTCAACACGTCAACGACATAATAGAGTACGGGCGAGAACCCATAAATTTATAAATCTATCAGAATTTACTCAACCTCTACTAGAAGCAAAAATAAGTAAAATTCACTGAACAAAAAAAAAAACTGAACGGGCCATGTGCTGAAAAGATATGGCCACGTAGAAGACACCCAAAATAATAAAACCTGAGATGAGATCAATTCTCCTCTGTTAGTAAAAGAGCTTTAAAAAGTTAAATAGCTGTACATAGGTTGACTCATGGTATGGAAAAATGATGCATATCATACAATACAATATGTTCCACAAGCAGTGAGAATAGTGTGTTAAGCATATTTAAACAATTATTTAGCAAAAATACACTGCACTCAAAACTAAACAACAGCAGCATCTTCATTGATATAATTTTATCTCCCAAGGTTGAATGGAAGCGTTGAAGTAATGGTCAGAGTTCTGATATGTGACTAGGAGGTCACAAGTTTGAGACAATACAATTGACCTCTTGCAAATGCAAGGTAAGGCAACAGATCCATAGTGGATCTGTTTATTCTCCCTCCATACAAAGAGTTTTATAACACTGGATTGCCCTTTGCATTATAAAATAAGGTTCAAAGATAAAACAAAAAATATATTAACCAAGATACTTGCCACGAAAAATATGTCGAAAATGCCATTCACTCCCATGCAAATCAGTTGCCACCAATTCTTGCCACGGTGGCTGCTGAGTCATGTCCTGAATGAAACAAGAGAATTAAGTAATTATAGCATGTAAATAACAACAAAATCTTCGTGATCAGATGTCCTTAATGACTTTCGAGAAGGTAAAGAAGTTGCTAACCAGTGGTGGTAAACAATCATCTGCATGTCTTCGAAGAACAGAGAAACCTCCATGAGTGCTAGTGTCAGAAGCAGTAAGTGTCTTGCAAAATGAATGAACGGTACACCTTGGAGGTTCAGGCAGAGGATCATCTGGGCTTGTCACCTCACTTTGCTAAACCAACAAAACACAATAAAACATACATTAATGAGATAAAAGATAACGAATAATCAAAGAAAAATTACTAGAAAATGCATTGAGATTTGAGACATAAATCAAAAGAGCATAACTGGTTTAAATATAACAATCATGTCAAAGAAAGATAGCATACTTACATCGGATTCAGGTAGCAAAGTTATTTGTGCATATACTTCATCTGTTTCAGGTTCAGCCTACACGACCAAAATGATTTTAACAATAAAATGACGATCACAGCAAAGCAAGATAAATTTCAAAAAAAGTGATTGACAGTGAAGAAACTATGTATTAAGATTGTGGAAAAAGATGATGACTAACCCGAAGATGAATATTGACCACTTTACATAGTATTTTAGAAGGAAGATTAAAGGAGGGCATTTGCTGCTCTAATCCCTGATTCATAGACGCCTCGAGCTATAAAATAAATAAGCATGTGTCAGATAAATCAAAATAAAACTTGATAACACGATAGAAGAAAAACCATTTATGCTCAACATAATAAGTATCCAGTAGTAACACATAAATGAAGTGCTATGATGGTAGCAATTGATACTGGAGTGTTATAATTTAAAGCACAAGCATAGATAATTGATCAGAATATGAATGCAACCAGAAACAAGTTGGAGACAGAAAGTAATTTGTAACGATGAAAATAAGATGTTAAGTTAAGAAGTAGTAGCAGAAGCATGAGGGTAGAAGTAAAGTTGGTAAATGAAGCACCTGTGCATGGTGATTAGAGTTTTACCTGTTCCATGTGACCTTGAGGGAAGTAATAAACTCTCTCTCCTTCACGAGGAAGAGTGACAAGGGGTCCAGCACATGCATGCCACAATTCCTTGTATAAAGCATCATTAGTCGCCGCTATAAAAGGAATATGAAAAGACATGAGTGATAAGGTTTATACGGTTAAGAGATATTAAAAGGAATATGAAAAGACATGAGTGATAAGGTTTATACGGTTAAGAGATATTAAAAGAAAAGGAAACCCACAAATGGCCTATGATAGGAAGTATGTATTTCACTCCTACTGGCAACGAAACTAGACAGTTGGTGAAAGCAGGTAATTTGATTTAATTTGAGTAGAGCAAGGACAAAATTAGTAATTACTAGTAAAAAAAAAGAAAATGAAGTGAAACCTGCACGGGTTGTAGCTGACATTTGATTTGAAGCCATACGAGCTGAAATGTTACCTTACCAACAAGAGCGCATCAATTAGGTAAATAATAATCAGTAACAGAAAAGGCATATTGTGATTGCGTGAAAGCACTTACTAAAGAAGAATGCAAATCGAGCGCGCGCTTGAGGATGGATGGATCCGGCAAGAGCGAAATCAGAATGGGAATAACAATTGAGAAGGAACAAGTTGAAATTGAGTGGCTAGGGTTTATGAAAGGGGAAAGAAAGAAATTAATAGATCGAACAAATTTGATCTGCGTGATAAGGTCATGTTTGGTTCAAGCCGACACGACCCCTCTGTTCCCTCTCATCCCCTCTTTCTACACTCACTCATTACTTTACTCTTTCTTTTTTTTTATTATTATTATTACTACAATTACTCTCATCTTATCTATGCCTCTCCTTCTCATTTAAGAACAGGCTTTATTTTCCCTTGCCTCTATATGTTTTTATATGTTTTTATAAATAGGTCATTCATTCCTTATTATTTGTCATTCATTTTTTCATTTTATTCTTAAATATTTCTTCAAAATGTCACATTATTAAAAGAAATATGTTGTACTTCAAAATTCGTCTTTTCATTTTCTTCAAAACGTTTTTATGAGATCTCAATTTGCTCAAAACTACTCAAGAGTTGATTGGTCAAACCTCCTCCTAAGCAAAGGTCTTCAATTAGGGTTTGGTGATTCTCAAGGAAGATTGGGTTGCAAGGGTCTTAAATGACTTTCATGGTTCATCATAGGTCTTCAATAATGCTTATGTTGAGTTTCAAGTCTTGTCTCACATAATTGCTCAGTCAATGGCTCAGAAGATTGAAAGTCAATTGTATTGGATAAAAAATCAACTATGGTCAACATACAGTCAAACTTCATGATTTTTTGTCTACATCAACATTTTGAGGTGTGTGATACGGTGGGAGAACTGACTTGGAATGTTTTGCGTTTGATCGCAAATGTTGCGGTTAGCAAGAGTTGCCACCGACTTTTCTTTTATCCAAAAGGAAAGGTGGAAAAGAATAGGAAAGACCTTTGAGATTATTTCTTGAGTCCGGGGGGTAGATTATGAAAAGGAAAGGTGTTAGCACCATTTTCATCCATAGTTATCTATGGGCTCTTAGTTGCTTGCTAGATCACTTGCTTTTGTTTGAAAATGTGTTTTGTGGTGGTTTTTTAAAGTATTTTGAAAAGGCACTTTCGTTTAGGCAAACTTTGTAATAGTTCTCGTTCGTAAGAACGTATACAAAGTGTTGGACTTTTGAAAATGTTTCATGTTTTGAAAGTTTTGTTTTTGAAAGTGTTTGGTGTCTGTTTTGAAAGTGAGCAAGGATGTTTGTTTTGAGAGTGAGCAAACAACTAGGAATAATCTACCTACTCAAGAGTCTATTTCTTTCTTCCTTTGATATTGTCATCTTACCATTGATTTGGTAAGAAGCCTTATCTTTGAATGTAAAGGGACGGGCGTGGGTCATCGTATAGTTATGATAGCAATGTTGTGAGATATCTTAGCATTTCTTTTTTAGGGACTAAGATCATTTTGAAAGGCAACATTCGTAACGTTATCGAGGGACTATGATCTTGTATTTTTTATTGCTTTTGCTAAGATATTCCACATGCATAACATGGTCATTTTTGTAAGGCAACAAAGTGGAGTTAACCCTAGGGGTGCAAGTGTGCAAGTGTGTTTGATTTACATGCATTGTTTATTTTGGATTAGGGTTTATTAATTGTTGATTTTAGTCTTGCCATACAAACCCTAATTACTAACATTTATATGAAAGCGATAAATTGCTGAAAGTAAAATTACTACGCTATTACATCATTATGGGAAGGGTATATAAATTTACTAATGGGGATTGCAAGAAAATTAAACCTAATTATCTATTACAACCATATTGAATAATGTACAACTAATTGAATAAATATGCAAGAAAATAAATGGAAAGAAAATGATTTTTGTTTGGTTTTTGTTAAGGGTTTAGTTTTGACCTAATTAAGAAAGATGATTAATTAAAATTAAATAAAATTAAACATAAACTAATTAAGAAAAGAAATTAAGTTTGAAACATTTTTTAGGGTTTTTTATGAAAGGTTTTAAGTTAATAAAAATAATATAGAAATAATTAATTAAAAGAAACCTAAATTCTAAGTTAATTTTAATTTAAAAGAAAAATAAATAAATCTAAATCTAATTATTAATTTATTAAGAAAAAGAAATCAAATTTGTTAAGAAAATATTTTTGTCTTTTTTAGTTTTATAAAGAAAATAAAAATATAAGTGTGAAAATAATAAACAAAAATATTTTTGGATTCTTTATTAATAAAAATAATAATAATAATAATAATAATAATAATAATAATAATAAATAATAAAGAAAAATGAAATAAAATAAAATAAGAAAAATAAATTAAATTAAATTAAAACGATAAAAGAGTTTGGGCCAGTATGCAAAAGCAGGCAGGGAGTGAAAATGGAGTAAATCTGCTAGGCCCAGCCAAGGAGGCCCAAGCGCTGGTTATTGCTGGCAAAAAGAAGGAAAATGTTGAAAAAGTAAACAAAAGGCAGCGCTGGGACTTGAACTCGTGACCTTGAGATAAACGCGCGCTACCTTTGCTACTGGGTGGTTGTACATCCGTTAACATAAGCAAAATAAATAATACATAACATAAAATAAGTTCTGAAAATGACTTCATCTTCAACCTCCAACCATGGTTCTTGTAACTTGCTCATTTCTCAACAAAAATGAAAGATGCAAACATGAAAGTTGCTCCATTTTTCCATACGAATCCAACCATATAAATGTCATAAGCTATAAATCAAAGATGAATGAGAATTTCTAAAAGTACCAAATTCTGACCTAACTTTTTTCAGAGATTCAAACCTAAAATTCTCTAAGCTCAATCAATATAAATGAAATCTATGGACATGTACAGTTTCAGCGTAATGATATCTACATTTTATCTTCACAAATGCAAGCTTAACAATGCCTAAATGAAAAGATAGAAGTTCAGAAAAGATACCTCAAAACTAGAAATCATGAAATACAACTGAGCTTGATTCAAGGTGCTGCAATGATCAGGTTAGCTTCCTCAAGTTCCCAGGAAGCTAATGCAATGCATAGCTTGAGCAATGGATGGATGGAATGGCCTGGAGAAGTCCACTTGCAGAGCTTTGTTTTTGGTTATGGAGGATGATGGAGATGGAGTTACAGTTATGAAACAGGGACAAGGATGGACTATATTTGATGTATAGGATCTTTGTGGTTGATTAGGAAGAAAAACGCACGAGGGAATTGTGAGTTACAAGTTCAAAGTCAGAATATGTGCATAAATGGAGTTTTGATGCAAGTTCTGATTTGAGGGGGTTTGGGAGAGTTTCAGGGTGCTTAAGCTCATGTCTTAGCTCACAAATAGTGTCTCTATTTATAAGCAACAAGTTTTGAGACTTGTGGTTGATCAGAATTCAAAAATCAAATGTTTAAGCTCAACATGTGATTTTCTTGAAAAATAAAGTTTCAATGCTTTGTACTTGCTATTGTAGAGTGGTTACACTTTAAACAAGCTTGCTTCTGACTTTGTAGATGGAGTGTGATCAGAGGGAACAAGTGAGAGGCTCAAGAATTGACTTTGTGCATAAAGTTTGCTTTTCAAGAATGGCAATGTTAGCTTTTTTTCCAAAAATGGCAAATGGACTTGGATAATGCTTAAACCACTTGGATTATAGCTCAAAAGTTTATGTAATTCATTAATTATGGATAGATACACAAGTTAGAAGACCTGCAAAGTAAGATTATGCATCCTAACATTGAGATTGGATTATGTGTTCATCAAGAAATGACTTGTAATTCAAGTTTGAAACCCTAACTTCTTGCCTTCGATTCTCTCAGCTCAAGTATGATCTCAATGAGTTCTTGGACATTTTGGAAAGCTTGTAACATCCCCTACAACCTTCATGTTGGACATTTTTGAAAATTCAATTTGGAACTAGGTGAAAAATTACCATGAAGTTAGGTCAAAATCCTGCCTAAACTAGGTCAAAATTTCACTAAGTCTTCAAGTTTCATGAGCATGTCTTCACAAAATCATAACTTGAAATATAAGCATTTATATAAAAAGTTCTGCCCTATAATATTTTAGATCTCATTGAGATCTACAACTTTCATGTTGTAAGTTTTCTTTGAATCATCTTGCATCATGGTGAAAATTTGGCTCAAAGTTATGAAAAAAATGAACTTTTCCAACACTTAGAAAAATTCTAAGTCTTGGAAACTTTGACTTTTCAAAATGAAATCTTGACTTTTTGATTTATTGATGAACAAGTTTCATATTTTGACATGTCTTGATGAATTGTAATCTTTGAAACTTGATTTTGATCAAAAAGTCAAAGTTTGACTTTTGAGTGTACAATTGACTTTTCATCAGTTGACTGGAGTTCAACTATCAATCAATTGAACTTGAGAAACGTTTTGAGCCATGACATTAGGTCAAAATGAATTATTTGAATCCTTGATATCATAACTTAAACCAATAAATCATTTGCTAGGTCAAAAATCAAAGATTGCACCTTCTCAGTCAAAACCCTGATTTTGACCATTTTGCCCTTTTGATGATCTGATCAAATTTCTTGAGGAATTATGATCCAAACTTGAAAAAATGACATATATGAGTTCATGATGTTGATATGGATAAAAAATTATGAAGTTTGACTGTAAGTTGACCATAGTTGACTTTTTCCCCAATACATCTGATTTTAGGTCATCTGATCAATTGACTGAGCAAAAATATGATCCAAGACTTGAAACTTGACATGAGAAATCTTGAGGGTCCAAAATGATCCATTAAAGTCATATGGGGTATTAAAAGTCCATTTTTCCTTGTACAAACTCAAACCCTAATATGAGTCATCAGTGCTTAAGGAGGTGTCTTGAACTGATCAAACCTTGTGTAGTCTTGAACCAATAGAGATTTTATGAGAGATTTTCTTGAGAAATGAGAGAGAAAATTTTGGGGTACAACAAGGTGATATTTATCATTTGATCAAGGATTGACCATGATTCCTCAAGAAAAGCCCTCAAATCATCAAAGGTAAAAAATTACCAAAATTACGGTTTTGATTGAAGATGACTGATTATTGACTTTTGACCTAGTGCATGACTTAATGGCTTGAAGCATGATCTCAAGGGCTCAAATAAAACATCTTGACCTAATTACATGGCTCAAGACATTCCCAAAGATACAATTGGTTGATAGTTGAAGAATGGAATCAATTGATGAAAAGTCAACAGTCACACAAAAGTCAAACTTTGACTTTTTGGTCAAAATTGGAATTTAAAAATCAAGAATCAT